TCACTAATAGTTCCCAGAATGCAAAAAAAGACTCTGATCAAACTGTTTTCTCAGAAACTCTCTCAAACAAAAAGGAGCACTGAAATGCAGGTCAAAATCTCATGGTTCATTGAGTGACACATAGATATCATCAAGTGGTAGCACAATGTCCTCCGTTCTGCAGCAGCCTGACAGTTTTTCTCTCCCATCAATGGATGGGAATTCAGAAAGGATAGCATAACTTTCAGCATAACTTTTGAAAATTATGATCAGATGTACACTTATTTAAGAATACTACTTAAAATATATTTTAAGCTGCTAACAATTTTAACAATATCTTTTAAAAGGAAACATTGAATTGGAAGCAAAAATAATGTCTAATTGTGTTGTATATATGGCCTTCTGCAAGTAATTCTATGACCATTTGTTAGGTTTAAAACTGACCAGAGAAGGGGCGTTGTCTTACCTGAACGCCTTTTCTCAGCATGATGATGTAGCATCCACCCGTGGGTAATCTCAGCCTTCCTGCTCAGTTGAGACTAAGAAAAAAACTTCAGCCACGCCTCTTTCCCTTCTATCAGGTACGGTTCCAGAACCGGACCAAATAGCTGTTTCCCACTGTAAGCTGCCGTTGATAGGCGCCACTTTGATTTTAAATCCACCCTCCACTGTTTGAGCCACAGCAGTCTGTGTGATGAAACAGTGGCTGCAATGGACCTAGCGGAAAATTTGGCCGATTGGAGGGAAGAGTCTGCCATGTATTCTGATGCAGCTACTAGCTTCCCCAATGTCTGGTACGTACATACCTGGGCAGGAGGAATCTGAGCCTGTAACTCATAGAGCCACATAATGGACGTCCTCGCAAAAAAGGACGAAGACATTGCCGCCTTAATCGCCCATGCCGAGGCCTGGTGAGCTCCGTGAAGGGAAAACTCAAACCTTTTGTCCTCCACCTTTAGAGCTTCCACCATATCCCCCGGAATTGTAGATGTGGAGAACAGTGAAGTGAGAGGAGTGTCCAAGTAGGCACCTCTAGAAGGGAGTCAAATGAGGAAGAGACATTATACAGTTTCTTTTCCATGGTATTGGGAGAAGGCGAAGTGGCCAGTGAGGTCCACTGTTTCTCCACAGTGGTGCGGAAAACAGCAGGGCAAGGAATCTGTTTCTCCTCCACTACCTTTTCAGCAAACAAAGGATTGGATTCCTGTGTAGAGGAGGTAGATGGTTTAGGTTCCTCCTCCGTTACCAATTTGGCCGTGGTACAGGCCTTCAGGAGTAATGACCTGAACAGGGATGGATCGAAGAGACCCGTTGTCGGGGTCAGATCCGGAGTCGCCTCCTCATCCTCTGACATGGGGATGTCTACCGACTCCAGGTCCACAGAGTCCCCTTCTCCTAATTGAGATGATGCTTCAGAGACACCTGAGCCAGCTAACTGAACACGCCCTGCTTGAGATGAAGATATGGGCGGAGGCGGTGGTACCTGGGGAAACCCCTGACCCATGGAAGAAGCCATAAATTGGTTAAACGAATGGTGCATGAAAGCCTGAAAGTGTTCTGCTTGCCTGCCTTGTTCTGTAGAGTGGACTCCAACTGCTGTAGGAGTATATGTGGCTGCTGGAACTTGTTGTGTGAAGGAAGCGGAAGAAACAGTGAGGGGAGGAGGAGGAGGAGGAGGAGAGGAAGAGGGACCAACCTGTTCAGTTTCCCCTTGAGGAGACCAAGCCCTGGGGGCATCATAAGAAGGCACACATGGAGGCTCAAATGGGGACTGGCCCAGTGAAACAGGGGGAACCACTTCAGCCTCACTGGATCTTAGCCTCTGAACTCTGGAAAATTCCTTTTCCAATGCCTGATGTCTCCTCGAGGCCACTCGCTCAGCAGCCTTAGAGGGTTCCTTGGCAGTTAAATGCTTTGCTTGGCCTTTTTCTTTCCTCCCATGTCCAATTCAGAAGATCTGCGTTTTGTTTGTGTGGGGGGAACTCCAGAACCTTGCGATGTCTGAGGAGTTTCACTGTCTGCCATCGCTTGCTGGATATTCCGAATAGGAGATGTCCAGGAATGGGGGGGGGGGGGAAATACGCAGATCTGGTTGTCACAGAGGGAGGATCCCGCGCTCTGAGCAACCGCAATGGCAAACAGCCAGACAGCCCACTAGAACTGCCTGACTAGGCCCTGCGACACCGCGCTGCGAACTACTAGGCACAGGTAGTGCAAATTGTCCCTCAGAAAATATGAACAGAGTAGAAATGGGTATGTATATGCTGCTAGAATGAGGCCGCTTCTTCTTTTCGTTAGAAGGTATGCAATGGATTGCTGTATAATTCCCCCCCCCCCGAGAGCCTGGCACAGCAGGCTACAGTATAAAGAATTAGGCCTGATAGGGCCTCTATGGAGAAATGAGGCCTTAAAATGGTGACCACGCCCAATGACTAAAACAAAATGGCGGCCGCAAGCTTCCTCGTATCCCAAAATGGCAACGGCCCAGGGAGAAACTCTTCCAACCATTACTCAGTCCGGCTTAATAACAGTTAGGGACCTTGGCAGAAATTGCCCTTTCCCCTCTTTATTTATAAGACAGAACACTTGCGATTAGTTGTGCAGCCTCCGCTGCGATCTGGATCGAGTCCTCTACTTGCTGGAGCCTCATGGCTACGATGGTGAGGAAATGAGGCCTCCCAGCCAAGCCGCGCTCCAAAAGGACCGGACGATCAAGCCGCATTCCAAATTGCCGGAAAAAAACAACAGCCTCCGTTTGAGCGCAGAACAGCTAAGCGCTGTTCCCCAGCTCATCGGAGCCGGCTGCTATCGGCTCACAGAGGCCTAAGAGCCTCCTCTAAATTAGGACTCTAACTGCCTCCAAGCACTTGAAAGAAGAGACCAAAAACTGCTAAAATACAAAAATATACGAAAACAAACCTAATTCCAAATCCAATTACTCTATTCTTGAAGAATCAAATTTGTTTAAGCTAGTCTAACAGAGGAGCCACCAAAGTTGCGTCCTACTGAGCTGAGACTAAGAAAAAAACTGGGGAAAGGACCGCCCAAGGAGGCGTGGCTGAAGTTTTTTCTTAGTCTCAATTGAGCAGGAAGGCTGAGATTACCCACGGATGGATGCTACATCTATCATGCTGGAGAATGGAGCAATAAGAATCACCCCCCCCACACACACTTTATCCAGCTTTCAAAGAACAGCATATACACTATTGGTCAGCTTGAATCCAAGCACATCTCTCTGTGTGAACCAAAATACTCAAGTCAATGAAATGTCCTGGAAGAAAGCATGGAGGTAGAGAAGAGAAAAAAGCAAAGAAAATATGTATTCACTGTCTGAAGACCTCCATCCATTCACTGTCCAAATCTCTACTAGTTTGTATTTTAGTGGATTTAATTTTTTTCCAGAAATCTTCCATTAGCCTTCAATTTAAACCTGAGAAATAACTTTAGGGAAAAAATAAAAATATGTTATAAAAAGCAACTGAAATACACACTTTCAAACATGCTTTTTTGCCTGGTACTCTTTATGTGCCTGCCAGTGAGCATTTTGATTCTATCTTTTTTTTTTTTAATGAAAACCTTTCTCCATTTGTAAGGAGATAAACATTCAAAAAAAGATAGTTGAATGAACAACTATATATAGTTATTGATATAGCTTAAATATAAAACAGATATTTTTATTTAAAGGTTTATATGATAAAATTAGCCACTTTGTAATTTCCATTAAAAAAAGCAAGAACTCTGTCCTTTATATATATTAACAGATACGCAGAGATTAATTTGACATTAACAGAGTGATAGAATTAAGATCATGTGAAGTATTAATACCACTTTACAATGCCTTGGTAAGGCCACACTTGGAATACTGCACCCAGTTTTGATCACCACGTTACAAAAAAGATGATGAGACTTTGGAAAAAGTGCAAAGAAGAGCAACAAAGATGATTAGGGGACTGGAGGCTAAAACAGACAAGGAACGGTTGCTGGAATTAGGTATGTCTAGTTTAATGAAGAGAAGGCCGAGGGGGGACATGATAGCAGTGTTCCAATATCTCAGGGGCTGCCACAAAGAAGAGGGAGTCAAGCTATTCTCCAAAGCCCCTAAAGATAGGACAAGAAGCAACAGATGGAAACTAATCAAGGAGAGAAGCAACCAAGAACTAAGGACAAACTTCCTGACAGTTAGAACAATTAACCAGTGGAACAACCTGCCTCCAGGAGCGGTGAATGCCCCAACACTGGAAGTTTTTAAGACGAGACTGGACAACCATTTGTCCGAAATGGTATAGAGTTTCCCGCCTGAGCAGGGGTTGGACTAGATGACCTCCAAGGTCCCTTCCAACTTTACTATTATTATTATAACTTAAAAGGAAAGGGCATCTTTATCACAAACTTTCCTACACAAGTGAAAACCTTTTTATTTTCCTACAAAATTTAGGAACCATCTTACTTTCTTACATATTCATCTATGACCTATTTTAATATCATACTTTTACTGGCATGTTTTTAAATAAATTGATTATTGGGGGTTCATAATATAATAAATGGGATACTTTTTAAAATGAACTTTAGAAAAACCATTAAGATCACTGTGGATTAGTAATATGGATTGTTCTAATATTGCATATTTATGTCTCAGAAATTCTATAAAATGCCACTTTTTCAGCATGGTTTTTTTTTCAATTATTATTTTTTTCTTCAGATTGTTAGGCTGGGAGAATGTAAAACTCTCCATAACTAAATTGGTTACTGATAGATTTAAACCAGCAAATGTGGTTCTATTAACCCCCTACCCAAACTGTTTTTCCAAATGAAGAAATATTACATTTTATTTTTGGAAACAAAATGGATTAAATACTACTCTTGCTTGTACTCTTTTTAAATCTTTAATAGTGAACATTTCAGTTATGTATTCAGTGAGTCCATAGGAAGATGCATCTCGTTACTGCTCTTCAACCCCTTGATTGAAAGTACTCTATCACAGAAGTATTTAATTATGAAATACTTTGTTTTCTGTTTTTCAGAATGAAATGTTTTATTCAGGATAAAAGCTGCAATCATAAAACCACTCCAACTTTTCACAATCTGTAAGTAAGGTGAAGAAAACTTATTTGCTTTAGAAAATAGTCTTGTTAATAAAATAAAATGGTGATAAATTCAAAATTCCATACTGACAGTACAGCACTCGCTGAAGAACAAAACAACAACAGAAAACTAAATAAAACCAAAATGAAAATAAATATCACATTCCACAACATTTACTGGATAACTATAATTACAAGTAACATCACACCCACATTTGTGCATTCTTTGTATAAAATTTTAAGTTGCATAGGTTTTTGGATACGGTATATGCTTTTGCTTTTTGCTAGCAAATCATTTACATGGCCATTCTACCTACTCCTAATTAATGCCCTCTATCAATTAGGTGAATATCATGCCCAGGTATCAACATATCACTTGCTAGCTGCATTTGTACTCAGAAGTCTCTCTTTTTACTTAATCTTTATTTTTTTTTTATTGCGAGGCTGCCGTGCTTCACAAATCAATGTCTTTTTTCTATGTTTACAAGATTTCCTTGACCCCATTAAGCAGTCTTTGAAAAGAGATGGTTGGTAACTTCATTCTGAAGCATGCTAAATGAAAAAGGAAAATGACACATTAGAGGTCTAGAAGTGACAGAAATAAAAGTGACTGAGTTTTAAAAGCTGGATTCCAAGTTGTACATATAATTTGGAGTAAACTGTCTTTCTTTTTGCATAACTTTCATTTTCTTCTGAGAATTAGGTGTTTTATGACTGGACCTACATCCAGTTAACCTTTTGATAATATGTATGTACTGCATATTTATGAACATTATCTTTGAAAACCTTAAACTGTTTTTTAATGTTAAATGTGAGGAAAGTGGAAGGGGTAGTAGTATTTTATGTGTCATGTCAAAAAAACAACAACAACCCAAAAATCTAAACTACATCTATTTGAACTTGAAATTTTTGGGGAGGTTGTGTTTCTCCATGGCACAGATTAATCACCTAAAATGAATTGGAGGTTCTAGCAATGCACACATCATAGACAGTAGCTAATATACAATTTCTTCAGATCTCTCACATGCTATTTCCCATGTACAACCAAAGTTACAGTATAAGTGAAGCAATCACTGGTTAGCCAATGAAAATCTACACACTATTTCTTAAAAGAATCTTTAGAAAGTGCAGGCAGAAGATCTCTTGTAGAGGGAGACAATTGATTTCAGTTTGATAATTTGATTATTTTGGGTGAAATTCACAGTTCAAGATTTTCTTGCTCCTCACTTGCTAGTTTCCTGTGTAACAATATTTAGAGAACTTTTATCTATGGTCTAAACTGGTATAATATAAGCAGATTGAAAACTCGTCTGCTGTTTGTGAGTATTAAATCTATATAGCAAACTAAAGCATGTATCAGGATGCATTTACTACTTCCTAACCAAACAGCCATGTTAAGTAGGAAATGACAAACATGAAACTAGCAAATAAATATCAAAATAACAGCTGCTATTGGCAAGAAAAGACAAAAACAAAAAAAGTATCTTTCTTTATTCCACATACAAAAGTAGAAATCAGAGGAAAACAAGGAAAGTCACTGCAATCATGACCTCTAGCGATGAGTACTAGGTTGATCAGATCTTGCTCTCCCACACAATTAAGATAAGGAAGCAAGCTTTGACAAGTAGATGTTCCATAGTGGGTGTTCAACCATGGGAACCTGGTACAGCTCTTTTTCTCTTCCTTAAAAAATGAACACCTGGTGAGCCAAGACCCAAAGCTGACACATAACCCCAAAACAAGTGGATAATTAAAACAAATGAAACAGAATTTTGCCATCTATTATCTGATTAATTCTTTTCTTAGCCCATTTTCTCACTACTCCCCAAACCCATCCCTTCCCTTCCTCCTTCCAAATATTTTATTAAGACATAATAAAAGGAGATATAGGTAAAATGATACTGATGATGTATGATTCCAAGTTAGGCTTTAAATACTAGCAGTTGTTTTGGAGAGATTTTAGTAGCAGTCTGACTATTCCTAAGTTGTAGTGCCTAGTTGTTTTATAAATTTGCCCAATACATTTTGCAGCAATTCCCAGCTGTTGCTAACTAGGCAGTTACTAGAAGTGAGGAAAAGAAGAGGGGACAAAAATGCAATGTGATTTGGGGCAGAGTTTCAGGAAGGAAAAGCTATATAAAACAGAAATAACGGCAATTCACTAAAAGGGAAGCTGGAAGAAGACAGTAAAGTTAAACTTGTCATGATTACACAGTGCACCCTTGAGGAAGTATTCATCCAATGGACTGCTGCTGATCTCTGTAAAATTAAAAACCTAATAACATATGAAATACACATGTGTTTATGTAATTCAAGTACACATTCCAAGAAAACTCCTGGACTTCTGGCAGTAATTAAGAAACAAATGAACAAACATCTAAGACTGGGACCAAATCTATCTTTATTCCAAGCAAGAACACTGAAATACTCGCAGAACGCTCAATGCCAAGGAAAAGAGGCATGTAGATAGCTTGGCTTTAAAAACAAAAAAAAAGGAAAGAAGACATTGTTTCTCATTCTTTTTCTACTTTCTAAATGGCTTCTCTCAATTTTCTTTTCTTTTAAATTTGCCAGTCATATGTGCTACATCTCTCCTGAATTTTCCATGGCAGAGGCAGCTATCATGCAAAGACACGAATGACATTCCTCACCCAGCAGAGCCTACGCTGAAACTTATTTGAATGAACTTGACCCTCCTTGGCCACAGGCCAGCATGCAACGTCACTCAATGACTTAACAGAACACAGTGTTCTTGGCACAAGCGCAAAAATGTGCTGAAAGCCATGCTGGAGCAAATCTAAGTATAACATTTCACATTAATAAAAAGAACAAGTAATAAAGAGATAGTAAACACAAAGCCAGAAGTAGTAATCTGGACATTTGTTTTCTGAGGGAAAGGTTTTTAAAACTGCACTCTCTGCTTCTCTGCTTTCCTTAACTCCCACTGGTCCCCAACAAAGTAAATTTATGGGCTTGATCTCTGAATTGAGCCTGTTTCTACTCCACCCTCAATCTGCTTCAAATCAAAGCCCACACACATTCTTTATCCTGCTTTCCCGCAGTGTTTTACCTGGAAAATTCCTATTCACCTTTCAACATGCAAGAAAAGGGAGTGACACTCTTTTAACTACCAACAGTTCATGACTCACATCTCTTCCTGAACTTCAAGCAGATGCTACCCAACAAACATTTCACACGATTTTAATACACACAGTAACCTATTATAGTTATGTCATTCATAAATGGATTATGGCAACTCTGTCAAAATATTAAAAGCAACCAAAGGGGAAGACCAACAAAATCAATACAAATTTACTATGACCTTAGTGTACTTCCTCTATGTAAATAAGCTGCTATTATCTCCTCCTCTATTTCCTTGTTGGGGATTTCCCCATTTCCCCCCCCCCCATGGCTATAGCTTGATATTTTTCTATTTTATCTCAGATGACCTATTTTTCTTTATTGTATCCCATTTTTTTAAAGGATTGGGCTTGAACATTGTAAATATGTAAAAACAAACATATTATTACATGTAGATATATGAATTTGTATTTTGGGGATAAACATGAAATGGAAGTTCTCCATTTCAAGATGTGAAAGATTTCACAAATAGCATGATATGTAACTTGAACTGTAATCCAGGAATGATTTGTAAATAAATGACATTAGATTTAGCTTAACCTATTTCTAAACAAACATACATCTGTTGAAATAATTATTGTCAATGCAAACAGTATAGACCTATATAAATTATATATTTATATAAATTGCCAACTTTTTATACAGATAATTAGTTCCTATATAGCAAATAAAAATTCAACATTAATTACCAGTGTATAAATCTGTGCCTGTCTAGGATTGCAACATGTATGGTGGTGAACTTGGACAAGGAAGAAGTTCCAATCCTTTTTAACCACTGAACTCACCAGGTGGACCTCTGGGCATCACCCAATCAAGCACAGTATTATGGGGGTAAAAATGGAAGAAATTTTCCTGCACAATTTTGAAATGTCAGAGAAATACAATAAATAGCAAATCAGAAAATCTGTGTTTTTTATATATAATGAATTCTATTTTTTAAATTTTATCTTATTTATTCAATTTATATAGCCACTCATTCAACAATGCCTCAGGAACCCAAGATGGCATACATCATAAAAAAATAACCAATAATCAATAGGAAAAAATCATTAAACCAATAAAACATGCTGGGCTAGGCAAAACAGCAATCTATTAATCCAGAGAGAAAAAAATAACTGGTCTTTAGCATCTTTCAAAACTTAGGGAGGGTTGGGACTATTTATAAGTTGCAATCAACATTGGACTTTCCCTCCCCTGAATAAATGGGACTATACTATAGCAATGAAAAGGAAAATGGAAAATTCATTTCCACTGTAACTTCAGAGGTGTTACCCTGAATTTGTAGGTGTTGGCTGAATCCATGTAATGAAGTCTTCTACAGGTTTATATCAAGTTGCTCTCTGTGACCCTTCCTGAATTAGTTGAATTCTGGTGTCAGTTAGTCAGATTTAAATTACTGCGTCACCCTCCACATGATTCTACCCTAGAAAAACATTCTAGCTACAAAATATGGCAAATCTGAAAAATCTGCACTGACTATCAATTGCCAAGCATAATTTAAAGTGTTGGTATTTGTTTATTCAAATAATTCCTATACACATCCTATGTAAAAATTTCAGATAACTTTAAGGCTATGTTATTAACTTAAAATTCTAAATACTTTTTATCAGGAGCCACCTACTTTATAAATCAACTATTAAAATTATCAGGATAAATCCTTTTGAAATTGGCCCTTTTCTCAGAGGCTGATTTTCTGGAAAGCAGAAGTCTTCTTTTTGTACTGCGCATACAAACACTATAATGTATTTGACTCCAACATTGTTGGCACTCAGAAAATCTGAAAAGCTGGGTCTTTCTCGCCAGGATTATAATTTTAGCATTAACTTGTTACTTTTAATTTGTATTTTTAA